CATTCAATAGTCCAGCCAGGATTCAAACCCAGGGATGACTAAGTCTCGGTCTGGTACCTTGTTTTACTCTGCGCTAAACTGCCTCTCTTTGTTTTATTTTGTCGGTACCTATAGCATTATAGTCTGGAAAAACAGTCTTTTAGAAATGACAATGAATATTAATAGCTCCTTTGTCTTTAAAAAAAAGTCTTTAGAGAAATTATCTAGAACAATATTCAGTTCATTTTGTAATGCAGCCTTGGAGTTAACCACCCCCCACCCAGTTGTAATAAATCTATATTTATATAGAAAGATGTCCATATTAAGTTAATTGAAGAAAGTGAATTGCAGAGCAGTGTGTATAGTATAACTCCATTTAGGTTTTGTTTAACATTACAGATATCCTTAACATATCTATATGTGTATATATATGTGTGCAGAGCAGATATCTGAGAAGACACACACTAAACTCTTTACAAAGATTCGTGCTAAGGACTGGGATTGGGGGCCAGGTGGTTAAATAGAGGATAAGGAGATGATTTATGTATCAGTTATATTTTTTATAATCCATCTATATTATCTTAAAACCAATTTTTAAAACAAAAACATATACATTGAAACTTTCTTCATAAATAGTTTATGACAATTTTACTTATTTTGGAACTAGAAATTATAATTAGAAAGTCATTATTACCACTTTGCACTGTTAAAAGGGTAGTTGATCATATGAAGTGAGATTTTTTTCCCTTGCTGTCATGAAAATGTTTGTCAAGTTCCTCCAGCAAAGCCCAGCACAGAGTTGTTGTTCAGTAATCGTTAATTATCTCTTTCTGCCACAAAACCAGAAGCAATGAGAACTAATCTCTACCCCAGATGAAAGTAACTTGTAGTTTGTGGAATATTATAAAATCATCAGGTTGAACTCTTCACCTTGAACTACAAACTCACCCCCATTCTCCACTGCTTTTCATCTTATCTTCATTCTCCAGATTTTTTCCTTCTAAGGGGTCATCTTCTATGCAGTCTAAGAACACCTGCATTCGTAGGGCCTTTTTGTAATAGCCTGGTGCTTGTAAGGCATCGAATAGATCTTATCCTTATAATTCTGTTGTTACCAACTTTCACATTGTTGTTTTTTAAATCTGCCCCTGAAAAGTTAGATTTTTAGAATTGACTTCATTCATTCATTCATTTATTTATTTATTTATTCATTTTGAGACAGGGTGTCACTCTGTTGCCAGCCTGGAGTGCAGTGGCGTGATCTTGGCTCACTGCAACCTCCAGCTCCTGGGCTCAAGCAATCCTCCACCCTCAGCCTCCCAAGTAGCTGGGACTGCAGGCACACACCACCACACCTGGCTAATTTTTTGTATTTTTGTAGAGACGAGGTTTCACTATGTTGCCCAGGCTGGCCTGGAACTCCTGGGCTCAAGCAGGCTTCCCACCTCAGCCTCCCAAAGTGCTGGGATTACAGGCGTGAGCCACTGCACCCAGCCTAGAATGTACATTTTATATTGTTTATTCTCTTTTGCCGTTCTCCTCTGCCAGTGAATATGATTGTTTCTTCATGTAAAAACAAAACGTTTTTATTCCAGTTGACCACGACTGAGAAGCCATTGAGAAAGCCACCTGCCAGACTGAAAAAACTCACGATCAGAAAGCAAGTGAAAGATTTCACAATGAAGGACATCAAGGAGAAGATGGAGGCCGCCGAGGAGCGCAGGAAGGTACTGAGCTCTCAGATGCTCTAGGCTTGAGGAGTTCGCTGTCAGCTAAAATGATCTCATGCCAGACCTCTCCTATCAGCAATTTTAAGACAAATTGCATGGATCTATAATCAGTATTTTTTTAAATTATTTTACTAATTTTTTTAAGAGAAAAGTCTCACTGTGTTGCCCAGACTGGAGTACAGTGGCATGCTTGGAGCTCACTGCCACCCTGAACTTTTAGGCTCAAGTGGTCGCCCTGTCTCAGCCTCCTGAGTAGCTAGGACTACAGGCCCATACCACTACATGAGGCTGATTTAAAAAAAAAATTTTTTTTGTTTAGAGATGGGGTCTCGTTATGTAGCCCAGTCTAGTCTTAAACTCCTGGCCTCAAATGATCCTCCTGCCTTGGTCTCCCAAAGTGTTGGGATCACAGACATGAGCCACTGTGCCTGGCCTATAGCTAGGATTTTAATGATCTTTATGCTTTTTATTATATGTGATATGTTTAGTGGTTTTTTCTTAAAAATTTCCTTTCTGTTGTAAAGGAATAAATCAGGTTGGGTGAAAATTACAGTTGCATCCATATAGCCTAAGTAAGCAACATCCAATTCTTGGAATTAAATGAAGTATGGAGCATTCTTCATATGGAAAAAGAGAAACTTCAATAGAGGCTGGGGGCAGGAGGAGAAGCAGGGTTGGGGTGTGGTGTTAAACTGAGAGAAACCGCTGCAGAGCATCAGGCTGCATTACTCCTACTGCATTTTCACCAAGGGCCCCCATAGCCCTCCACGTGCTCTTGGCCAGACCCAGCCTTCACACCTGGGTCTGACAGCCTTTGTTTCCCAGCTCTCTAATTGGCCTATCAGAGAGCAAGGACCAGACTCCAAGCTCCATGAGGGCAGGCCCCATGTCTGCCTTCTTCAACAAGAGTTTCTCAACAAATGTTTGTTATATGACTGAATAATGACATAGAGAAGCCATGAATGTTCAATACAAGCAACATCAATCACAACTTGTAGAAAGTTATTCAGGCTCTTTTTCATTCTTTAATACTGCATTTCAGACCAAAGAAGAAGAAATAAGAAAAAGGTTACGGAGTGACCGACTTTTGCCTTCAGCCAATCATTCAGATTCAGCTGAACTAGGTGGGGCTGAGGTTGCATTTGCCAAAGGACTTCAAAGGGTGAGATCTGCTGGATTTGAACCATCTGACCTGCAGGGAGGAAAACCATTGAAGAGGAAAAAGAGTAAAAGTGATGCAACCTTGATTGATAGAAACGAAAGTGATGAAAGTTTTGGGGTCGTGGAGTCAGACATGTCCTACAACCAAGAAGATGACATAGTCTACTAAGCCATTTTTTGTGAATTTCATAAGAAAGCATCCATTCTCCCCATTTGTGACATTTGTAGTATGTCTCATATTCTTTGACTGACTGACCTCATTCCACTGGGATTTCTGCCTTGGGCTTAAGGATGATTATGTGGGTTGCACAGGCTGAAGATCAGTTGAGTAAATTAAGTAGCTATGCTAGCTTTAAAAAAATGAGCGAGGGGGAGACTTGACCAGCTAGATATTTGGCACTCTCCTTTGTGTGGCTTCAAACATTATGGAGATGTCTTTAATTTATAAGTGCCTTCAGCTTACATGAATAAGTTCGTGCCAAATGAAATCCTTCCTGTTTACTCCTGCCTTGTGGCGGGGTCCATCTTCTGCTGGTCCTTTAAGACAAATTGCATGGATTTGTATTAAGTATTTTAATGGTTTGTATTTTTTTTTTGTTTTTTTTTTTTGTTTTTTTAATTTTTTTCTCCGTGTTGTGAAGGAATAAAGCAACGTCTTGAAGTTGGTTGAATTACAGTTTTATCCATATAGTTTACGTTAGCAATATCTAATCTCAGAATTATATAAAGAATGGAGTTTTCTTCTTGTGCAAACAGAAGAACTTCAGTTGAGGCTAGGGGTGGAAGGAAGGAAGTTGTGAGGGTGGGGATAGACTGGGAGTCAGCCTGCTACCAGTGTCTGTCTTCCCTGCAGACATGCTGAGCTGAGAAGCTGCTGGTTCTCATCTTATTGTCAATATACCTTGGTTCTTCCCTCCCTTACCACTCACATTCAATCAATTATCAGGTCTTATGATTCTAGATGCCCCCCTTTTTTGTTTTTTTGTTTTTTTTGTGTGTGTGTGTGGAGATAGGATCTCACTTTGTCACCCAGGCTGGAGTACAGTGACATGATCTTGGCTCACTGCAGCCTTGACCTCCTGGAGCTCAAGCGATCCTGAAGCCTCAGACCTCCAAGTAGCTAGGACTACAGGCACACATCACCACACCTGGCTAAGTTTTTGTAGAGACAGGGTTTCATCATGTTGCCCAGGCTGGTCTCAAACTGCTGAGCTCGAATGATCCACCCACCTCACTTGCTTGCAAACACATATCAAAAGTCAGTGAGTGGCAAGTGACAATGAAGTTGCATCTGGTGACAGGCTATAGAGTGGCAAGTCAGTCAATGTACTTCAATTGTACAGCTGCATCTGGTGGCCTTGAAAGTATGTTTGAGGCAACGTCAAATCTCCGTATGTTCTGAATTAAAATCCAGGTGGAATATCCTGACATTGCCACAAAAGCACTGAAAAACCTGCTTCCATTTCCAGCATCCTATCTTTGTGCAGCAGGGTTTTCTGCAGTGACAGCAACCAAAATGAGATTATGGAGTAGACTGGACATAAGCAACACATTTCAGATGTCACTGTCTCCCATCACCCCAGATGGGACCATCTAGTTGCAGGGAAACAAGCTCAGGCTCCCGCTGATTCTACATTACGGTGAGTTGTATAATTATCTCATTACATATGACAATGTAATAAGAATAGAAATAAAGTGCACAATAAATGTAATGCACTTGAATCATCTTGAAACTATCCACACCCCCTCCCCCACGTTCATGGGAAACTTTGTTTTCCACGAAACCAGTCCCTGCTGCCAAAAGGTTGGGGACCTCTGTTGTATATGTTCCTATAGCCTGTAGGACTTCAGACACCTACAGCCAGTGAGGTATGATGGTGGTGGTAGAAGGGGGTAGAGGGGCTTCTTCAAAACTCATTGCAGAGCCAAAAGCTTTAGAGTCAGTCTACTTCTTACAGTGTGACCCTGAGGCATTCAGGCTCTCTGTATCTCGATTACCTTACATGTTAATTTGGGATAGCCACAGTCACAGAGTTGAATCAAATGAAATAATGTGTTTAAAGATACTGTGTACCTGCTTGCCTGGTTCAGCAGACTGAGTTGTCCCACCCCTTCTATGCAGATATCTTGATTCAGGGGTGCCCTGTCCACTCCATGCCCAGACAGCTCTCCAGGCATTCGTAGCACCCACTCACCTGGAACAGCAGCCTGAATCACCCCACCCTTCCTGTGCAGAGATCTTGGTGCAGAGGGGCCCTCTCTACTCCCAGGCAGATCTTCAGGCATCTGGAGCACCTAATCTGCATTAGGAATTTGAGCCAACTCCCATCCCTGTGCAGAAAACTTGGGACTGAAGAGGTTTCCCAGCTCCACACCTAGGCATAACTCTGGATGCTTGGTGGCCACCCACTAGATTATCCCTCAGAGCTTGTGCTTGTGTCTGCCACTGGGGAATGTGCAGGCAAACCTGCCTGGTCTGGCCCCACCCATCATGGCCCCTGCCCCTGCCCCCTCCAGGGTTGCATAGGGGAGCTCAGACCACTGCAAATTCCACAAATCACCCCATTGCCTAAGGCAAGAGAGAGCTTCTGCAACAAAGATCAAGTATATACACAGCCATATTGGCCACAGCTGGCTCCTACCTACAAGCGCCATCTAAGGGCTTGTAGGTCAAACTGCACAGCCCAATATAAAACCTGCTGAAAGAAATGCATAGGGCTATAGAAGCAAAGCCAAAAGACCCTACACTGTTGGGGTACAGTACAGTACCCCAGTAACAGGAACTGTACGGGGGGAAGGGGGAAAGGAAATGGAAAGAAAATATATATATATAGTAGGAAAAGAAAGAAAAATAAAAATCCCTATCTTCAGGAAAATAATAACAAAAATTAGAAGTGCCAGTATCTCCAGATGAGAAGGAACCAGCACAAGGATTCTGCACCATGAAAAATGTGAATATAGTGACAAACAAAAGGATTGCACTAGCTCTCCAGCAATGGTTTCTAACTAAAATGGAAACTCAGAAATGACAGATAAAGAATTCAAAGCATGGACTGCAAGGAAGCTCAATGAGATACAGGACAAGATCAAAAAGCAATACCAAGAAACTTCTAAAGCAATCCAGAAAATAAAGGAAGTGATAACATCCTAAGATAACATCTTTTTAAGATAAACATCTTAAAAAGAAATCAATCAGAGCTTCTGAAATTGAAAAACTCAAGGAATTTCAAATACAACTGAAAGCTTTATCAATAAACTGAATAAAGCAGAAGAAAGCATTTCAGAGCTTAAAGGTTGGTCTTTCAAATCAACCCAGTCAGACTAAAATAAAGAAAAAATAATTTTTAAAAATGAACAAAGTCTTTGAGAAATATGGGATTATGTAAAATGGCAAAACCTATTAATTACTGGTATTCCTGAGAGAAAAAAAGAAAAAAAAATCCTGGAAAACATATTTGAGAGAATAATTCAAGAAATTTTCTCTAATCTTGCTAGATAGGTAAACATCCAGATACAAGAAATCCAGAGAACACCTGCATGATACTATACAAAATGATCAACAAGGCATATAGTCACCAGATTGTCAACATTAAAAAAAAAAAAAAAAACTTAAAAGCAGCTAGAGAAAAATCCCAGATCATGTACAAAGGGAACCCCATGAGGCTAATAGCAGACTTCTCAACAGAAATATTACAAGCCAGGAGAAATTGGGGGCCTATTTTCAGAATTCTGAAAGAAAAGAAAATCCAAACAAGAATTCCATATCCTGCCAAACTAAGTTTCGTAAGCATAGGAGAAATAAAATCTTTTCCAGATGGGCAAGCACTAAGGGAACCTGTTACCACTAGACCAGCCTTACAAGAGATTTGTACTGGAATTCTAAACATGGAAATAAAAGAACAATACCTGCTACCACAAAAAGGCACTTAAGTTGACACAGACCTTATAACTACACAATAGAAACTGGAAAGCAACCAGCTAACAACTTCATGATAGAATCCAAACCTCACATAACAATATTAACCTTAAATGTAAGTGGTTTAAATGCTCCATTTAAAAGGCACAGAGAAGCAAACTGGATAAAATAACAAGGCACAAGACCTGTCTATCTGCTGTCTCAAGAGACCCATCTCATACATAATGACACCCACAGGCTCAAAGTAAAGAGTTGGAGAAAGATCTACCACAAAAACAGAAAATTAAAAAAAGAGCAGGGATCACTATTCTTACATCAGATAAAATAGACTTTAAACCAACAATAGTAAAAAAAGACATAGAAGGACATTACATAATGACATAGGGTTTAATTCAATAAGAAGTCTTAACTATCCTAAATGCATAAGCACCTAACATTGGAGCATCCAGATTTATAAAGCAAGTACTTCTAGACCTATGAAAAGAGTTAGACAGCCACACAATAATAGTAGGGGATTTCAACACCCCACTGACAGCATTAGACACATTATTGAGGCAAAACACTAACAAAGAAATTCTGGACTTACATTCAATGCTTAATCAATTGGACCTAATAGATACCTACAGAATGAACACATTACCCATCAACCACAGAATAGACATTCTTCTCATCTGCACATAGAACATACTCCACAATTGACCACATGATCAATCATAAAGCAAGTCTCAATACGTTTAAAAAAATTGAAATTATACCAACCATACTCTTGGACTACAGTGGAATAAAAATATAAATTGATATCAAGAGTACCTCTCAAAATCACAGAATTACATGGAAATTAAACAACTTGCTCCTGAATTTCTTTTGGATAAACAAAAAAATTAATGCAGAAATCAAGAAATTCTTTGAAATAAATGAAAACAGAGACACAACATACATCTGTGGGATTGCAGCAAAAGCAGTGTTAAGAGGAAAATTTAAAGCATTAAATGCCTACCTCAAAAAGTTAGAAATATCTCAAAAATGATCTCATGTCACACCTAGTGGAACTGGAGAAACGAGAACCAACTAACCCCAAAGCTAGCAGAAGAAAAGAAATAACTAAATCAGAATGGAACTGAACAAAATTGAGACCCAAAAATTCATACAAAGAATCAATGCAACCAAAAGTTAATATTCTGAAAGAATAAGCAAGATCAATATATGGATAGCTACATTAACAAAGAAGAAAAGATCCAAATAAGCAAACTCAGAAACAACAAAGGTGGCATTACAACTGATCCCACAGAAATACAAAAGATCTCCAGAGACTATTATGAACAACTCTATGCCCACAAACTAGAAAATCTAGAGGAAATGGATAAATTCCTGGAAACACACAATCTCCCAAAATTGAATCAGGAAAAAATTGAAACCTTGAACAGACCAATATCTAGTTCCAAAATGGAATCAATAATAATAATAGAAAAAAACTACCAACCAAGTAAAGCACCAGACTAGATGGATTCACAGTGGAATTCTCCACATGTACAAAGAAGAGCTGGTACCAATTCCACTGAAACTATTCCAAAAAATTAGGAGGAGGGACTCCTTCCTAACTCATTCTACAAAGCCAACAATTAAAAAAGAAAACTACAGGCCAATATTCCTGATGAACATAGACACGAAAATCCTCAACAAAATACTAGAAAACCAAATCCAATAGCACATCAAAAAGTTAATTCATCATGATCAAGTAG